GCCAGCCAGTGTAACCAAATGGCAAGCTTCAGGTTTAGTGAGACTCTGTTTCAAAAACTAAGGTGGAGCACAATTGCCTACAGATATATGTGCATACACATATACACACACTAACACTATACCAGACAGACACACACACATGCATGTGCGCGCACACACACACACACACACACACACACACACACACAGAGTCATTTAATAATCTAAATATTTCCAAAAATAGCAGTAGCTAGAATGATATAAAAAACAGAATTTCCAGCCATAGCTACTAAGAGCTTGCCTTATCCCCAAGGAAAAAAATCCCTATTAACATGTTAGAGCACTTTAGTTTCTAAACCATTTCAGACGTTGATAGAAAAACACATTGTTACTTATATTTCATCAGATTACTATTATTACTTTTGTTTTGTTTGTTTTTTGTTGTTTATTTTTCAAGACAGGGTTTCTCTGCATATCCCTGGCTGACCTAGAACTTCCTCTATAGACCACCTCACAGAGATCTACCCGCCTGTCTCCAGAGTATTGGGATTAAAGTTATGGGCATGGTACTATTATTACATTTTTTAAGGCTAGCTCTCAAAACTTGGGAACTCAAGGTCATAAAAATCCTTCCTATATCTTTTTTTTTTTTTTTTTTTGGATTTTCGAGACAGGGTTTCTCTGTATAGCCCTGGCTGTCCTGGAACTCACTCTGTAGACCAGGCTGGCCTCGAACTCAGAAATCCGCCTGTTTCTGCCTCCCAAGTGCTGGGATTAAAGGCATGCGCCACTACTGCCCTGTGAGAGCTGAAATTTTTGTATGTTATTTTATTAATTACTTAGATACACTTGAGAACTGAGTAGCAGATGGTGTCATGCTGAGGCTTTAGGGACTGGGGGACAGGTGGGGATCAGCAGATTAGCAGAACTAATAATAGGCCTAAGAGCAGAGCAATGGTGAAAGAGTTCAGAAGGCACTAAGATGGAATACAATGTATCACTGGGGTAAAGACCTCAGGCAAATCCCCATAATTGAAAAACATTTTCTAAATTTCCTTGACTATAAAATATAGCACCTAGCTGGACTGGAACAAAAATGCATTTCTAACCAGCTAACCTTGGTGAGATAAGTCTAGGAAACACTAGGTTAAGGATAAGTTTGAAAAACTAAAGGAATTATAAACCAGGAATAACGTTCCCTCTTAAAAGAGTTTTTTTTTTAAACCTATCTATACTGCCAAATACTGATACATATCTACAAACATGGATGTTTTTGGTTTGCTTCTTTTTCTTTTCTTTTTCTTTTTTCTTTTCTTTTTTTTTTGAGACATGGCCTATCTATATAGTCCTGTTGTTCTAAAACTCACTCTGCAGACAAGGCTGGCCTCAAAGTCAGATCCTTGTATCTCTGCCTCTTTAGTCATGGGATTTAAAGTATGTGCCTCCATTCATGGCTGGCTTCATAATACGTTGTGATTTTTATTATTATTATCTTTTTTCTTTATTGGTGGTGAGGAAGCATGACTGTGCACATGCATGGAGGTCAGAGGACAAGCCTTAGAAGTCGATTCTCTCCTTCCACCATGCAGGTCCTAGAGAGGGCTTGAACTCAGGCTGGGAGGTGTAGTGGCAAGGGTCCTTATACAATGAGATATCTCACCAGCCCCACAAACATGATTTTAATTAGGAAAATCCATCCCTTGGAAGGCATCTATAGAGATGTATTAGACTCCATCTTTGGCATCTGCCTTTTTAGGATGTGACTAAACTGCAGACTCATCAGTTCTAGTTAGAGATCTAGGAGAAAATTAACTATGGTGTCAGATGGACAGTAAAATTTGGAAACTTCCTTGGAATTGCATCAAAGCTTGAAAAACAATGTTGCAACTGTAGCTTTGCTACTGAAAACTCCTTGCTTCTTGCCTTGTGTTGGAATGGGGTGTGGCATTTGGGAACTGTCACAGCATATGTCTGCGCAGTAAGTGGTGCACTAGGCAGCAGCCAGGCTGGACAGAACTAAACAGCACTGCTCAAACTGCCCATGGCTGACACAGACATAAACAAACAAGGATGGCTGATATACAATCTAAATGTTTTTTATATACCACAAAATACAATTCCTTTGATTTTTTTTTTTCAAAAATTAAAAACACAGGAAATGTATTTATAGCTCAAAGGTTGTACACAATTAAGAATAGGCCAAGTATGGCTAATGGGTCTCAATTTGCTAACTACTCAATAATATTATAAACTGTAAGATTTTATTAACTTTATGTGTGTTTGTGCATGTGTCTGTCTACAGGCCATGTATATGTGGGTGCCTGGAAAGGACAAATGATGTGGGAACTAGGATCCAAACTCAAGACTTCTGGAAGGCAAGGAAGTACTCTCCAAAATTTTATTTCTTAAAAAATAACACCTCAGGCTGGGTATTTGGTGGACATCTTTAATCCCAGCACTTGTGACTTAAGGCCAGTCTGAATTACAAATTTGAGTTCTAGGACAGCCAGAGCTTCATGTCTCAAAAAACATCAACAACAACAAAAACCAAACACTCAGGGTTGGAGAGTTAGCTCAGCAGTTAAGAGCACATGCTGTTTTTGCAGAGGACTCAGGTTTAATTCCCAGCACCCACATGGTGGCTGGCAATCATCTGTCATACTAATTACAAAGAATCTGACATTCTCTCCTTAGCTTCTCAAGCTCCAGGCATACTCAAATTACTCATACACATAAATAATAAGGCTAGAGTCATCAGAAAGGAAGAAGCCTCAACTGAGGTCGCCATAAGATCCAGGTGCAAGGAATTTTCTTAATTACTGATCAGTGAGGAAGGGCCCAGCCTACTGTGGGCAGTACCATCTCCTGGCTGGTAATCCTAGGTTCTATAAGAAAGGCTGAACAAGTCATGTAAAGCAAGCCAGCAAGTAGCACCCCTCCATGGCTTCTGCATCAGCTCCTGCCTCCAGGTTCCTGGCCTGTGTAAATTCCAATCCTGACTTCCTTTGGTAATGAACGGCAATGTGAAAGTGTCAGCTGAATAAACCCTTTCCTCCCAAACTTGCTTTTTTATGATGTCTTGTTGCTGCTAACAGAAACCTTAAGTAAATCTAAAAATCAAAAACCAAACCAAACAAAGCAAATGACTCGGGCTGGGTGGTGATGGCATAAACTTTTAATCCCAGCACTTTGAAGACAGAGGCAGGCGAATTGTGAGTTTGAGGCCAGCCTGGTCTACTAAGAGAGTTTTAGGACAGTCAGTGTTGTCTAGAGACAGAAACTCTGTCTCAAATAATCCAAAAAGAAAAACACTTGTATGTGAACAATCTAACATTACAGGCAGGAGCCCATTCATAATAGTCAAAAGGAATAACTGACCTCAGCAGACATCAAAAGATTAAAAAAAAAAAAAAAAAGAGTGGTTACTTTCATATGATGAAATTTTATTTAACTAGAAGAAAATAAATGCTAATATATACTACAGCATGAGTAAACTTTGAATACATGGAACTGGTGAAAGAAAAATAAAGGCTATTCATTGATGATTCCACTGACAGGAAATGTCCAGGACAAAATATACCAGTAGCTGCCAGGGGGCAAAGAGGGTGGGGAGTGTTTGCTAATGGTTACAAGGTTTCTCTGGGAGATGAAAGGCATTGGAGGTAAGAGGTGCATAATCTTCTGAACATACATATATGTTCATATATGAACATACATATGTTTGTGGGGTGGGGGTGGGGAGGAAGAAAGCTAATATAAAGTTAAGAGTAAGATTCCTTGAAGAAACTGAAAAACACATTTTCCTTTGTAGACAGTACATATCTATGGAGATATATGATCTCCATAGATTTTATACATACATACATACATACATACATACATACATACATATGTGTGTGTGATTATATGTATATAATCACTTAATTGTATGTCTGAAAGAGGTAAACTTTGTGTTACATATCTAAAAAAGTCAGTTTTAAGTTTATAGCAACATTGTGTTAAATTCTGGGTATTTCTCAATAGAATTATACTTCTTAGCTATGAAAGAGTATATTGCACTTGCATCACATGTACCTATGACAAAAACTACAAGAGGCCCAAGAATATAGCACACTGGCTTACTATGTACAGGGCTCTGAGATCAATTACTGACAGAATACAATACAACAACAACAACACAAAAACAAAACTGCTACCCAAGCTTTTGTTTAAACTCATAGATTTTTCAGGCTAGTGAGATAGATTCATGAGTCAAGAAACTTGGTATCAAGCCTGCCAACGAGGGTGGGACCCAAATAGTGGAAAGAGAGAACTGACCCACAAGCTGTCCTCTGAACCCTACAGGCATGGCATGGTACACACCCACCTCATAAGATGAATAAATGGACACTCAAAAAAGTTCATAGGCTTTATAGATGTAAAGTAAGTGCCATGGTTTGAATATGCTTGGCCCAGGGAGTGGCACTATTAGGAGGTGTGGTCTTGTTGGAGTAGATGTATCACTGTGGGCATGGGCTATAAGACCTTCATCCTAGCTGCCTGGAAGTCAGTTTTCCACTAGCAGCCTTCAGATGAAGATGTAAAACTCTCAGCTCCTCCTGCACTATGCCTGCCTGGACGCTGCCATACTTTTGCCTTGATGGTAATGGACTGAACCTCTGAACCTGTAAGCCAATTCAATTAAATGTTGTCCTTATAAGACTTGCCTTGGTCATGGCATCTGTTCACAGCTTAAAACTCTAATACAGTAAGTAAACCATTACCAAAGTCTAACCTGTTTTCTTAGTGTTACAGGGTCTGTATATTCATGGTACTACTGGAACCAATACTTAAACAGGAAGCTTTATGAAGACACAATGTCAGTGTCACACTGAGCTGGAATAAACAATTTAGCAACTTAATAAGCAACACAACCAAATTTCAGTAACTTCTTCTTAATAAAATGCGAAACATTACTAAAACCCACTACCATACTGGAATTCCTGTATCATTCAGGCCCACAGAACACAGCCTGGGGTTACCTCTTTCTCCTCTGGGCAGTACAGAGGCCCTGTAGGATGAAGAACAGCTTTCTGTGCATAATAAAACAGCTCTGAGATATTCTTTAGGTTTTTTGCTGAACACTAAAAAAAAAAAAAAAAATTAGTTTTTATGTTCTGAAATCAATTATGATAGCCAAAAATAATTTTTAAAATGTTAGCATACAATATTCCTGTTTTAGAACTTTTCCCACTCTCAGAGAGTTTTCCTTATTATTTTTTGTTTGTTCCCGTTTTTTTGTTTTTGTTTTGTTTTGTTTTTTATTTTTGGCTACACTCAGCTTTAGTCGGGTGGGGGTGGGGAGGAAGAAAAACAATGTAAGAGTAAGATTCCTTGAAGAAACTGCAAAACACATTTTCCTCTGTAGACAGTACCAAGATCTCCATAGAGCTCAAGAAGAAAACTGTCAATTTCTCTGTTCTGTTTGGTTTATATGACTTCATAATGAACAGAAAATTGATCCCATCCCCATAATCTCCCCTCCCATTCAAAGTCTCCCATTACAGAGCATTCATCAGCACATTTCCAAACTAAAGCACGAGACATACCTCCACACAGGTTTCTATTTCTGTATATTGGTTCATAATCGGAAGGATGGTCTCCATACTACTATATTCCACCAGATCAGATTTGTTCCCAACCAATATCAAAGGCAGCCTGAAATGAATAGGGCATTAATGCAATAAAGAAAACAGAAGATGTAAGATTTGTATTTTAACTTATGTCATTACCCATTCTAGTTAAATTCCCATTGTAAGTTTTCTAATAAGGTCAAGCCAAGGCCCCCAGATAGTAGGTTCATTCAGTCAGTCATCTCGGATTTATAGAGCATTTGTTTTAAGTCACACACTCTTACAAGTACTTCTAAGTACTTCTAAGACCTTAAGAAAAAGGCTCCTCAGCGGTTGGAGAGGTGGCTTCGTTGTTAAAAGCACTAGCTGCTCTTCCAGAGTTCAACACCCAGAGCCCACATGGCAGCTCAAACTGTCTGTAACTCCAGTTCTAGGACACCCAACACCCTCCCACAGACAAACACCAATGTATATAAAATTTAAGAAGGGGGGGAAGGGTGGACAGATGGGTAAGAGCACTGGCTACACTTCCAGAGGACCCAGGTTCAATTCCCAGCACCCACATGGTAGTTCAAACTGTCTGTAACACCAGTTCTAGGTGAATCTGATACTCTTACATAGACATACATGCAGATAAAATACCAATGGACACTTTTTGTTTTGTTTTGTTTTGTTTTGTTTTGTTTTTCAAGACAGGGTTTCTCTGTGTAGCCCTGGCTGTCCTGGAACTCACTCTGTAGACCAGGCTGGCCTCGAACTCAGAAATCTGCCTGCCTCTGCCTCCCAAGTGCTGGGATTAAAGACGACCAATGGACACTTATGAATAAATAAATCATTAAAAAAAATTAAAGCCAGGTGGTGGTGGCATATGCCTTTAATCCCAGCACTTGGAAGGCAGAGGCAGGAGGATCTCTAAGTCTCTCTGATCTACAGAGCAAGTTTTAGGACAGCCAGGGATACACAGAGAAGCCCTGTCTCAAAAAGCCAACTAAACAAAAAATATCCCTCTCATTCTAAGAGTGAAAACTGAACTGTAACAGGGAGATCGAAACAGAATGAAAGGGAGGGAGATGATCATGAACCTTCTCTTCAGTGGGTGGCATGTGAGCCCAGTATTGAGAGAGGATATGGAGTCTGCATGTGCAGAGCAGAGAGAACTAGCTGGGAAGAGAGAGCATGGCCATGCTGGTGGGGTCAGAGAGCAGGACAGGTGTGCCAGAATGGACGGACAAGGAGAAGGTCGAGATGGCTTAGACTGAGGATGAAGGCCAGACATACTAGGATTTCTAAGCTCTGGTAAGAAATGTAGGTTTTATCATTAGTATAAATAAGAAGCTAGTGAAGAGTTAAGTAGGGGCAAGGTCTGATCTAGTCGATGTTTTTATTTTTTATTATTACTATTATTAATGTATCTGATACCACTGAACTCAGTATTTAAGTTGTTGCTTTGTTTTTGTTAAATTTTAAGTTTCTTATATGCATGAGTGATTTGCCTGCATATATGTATGTGTACCACATGCATGCTTCGTACCCAAAGAAGTCAGAAGGAGGTATTGGATTCCAAGAACTAGAATTACAGAGAGTTGTTAGCCACCATGTGGGTGCTCAAAATCAAACCTGGATCTTCTGGAAGAGCAGCCATTACTCTTAACTGCTTAGCTAGCATCCTAGCACTAATTAACACATTAAAACACGATCTGCTATAATTCAGAGATACATAGTGAAGTATTTACAACTTGGCGTGATGTCTATTTGCTTCAAAATTGTCCCGATGGTATTAATAAACAAGATTGGTCCTGAATTAACTGTTGAAGGTGGGTGACAGATTCATTACACTATTGTCTATTTGCTTAATGTGTGAATTTTGTCATTAAGAAAAAGCCTTAGAGCATACTCGGGAAGTAGAGGCAGGCAGATCTCTGTGAGTTCAAGGCCAATCTGGTCTACAGAGAAAGTTCCAGGACAGCCAAGAGTACACAGAAAAACCTTGTCAAAAACAAAACAAAAAGAAAAAAATAGAAAGGCCTTGACCAATAACTCTCACAAATATGGTGAATGTTCCCAAGACTCAGACTCTGCAAGAAATGTAGTAAGCACTAGCCTCACAAAATGACACAGTACAAGACGGTGAAAGAATCTGTGCGTGTGCAGGAAAAGGGGCATTATGGCAGGAAACGGATTGGCTATGGTGGGCAGACTAAGCTTATTTTCCACACAAACACAAAAAGGGCACTGTTAGAAAGATGCTGAGGCTGAGCCTGATTGCAGATTTAAGAGGATGTGGGAGGCAGTAAGAGAAAGAGCCAAGCGATCCAGCTCTAAGATGATTTTAGGGTGTGCGTGTGTGAGTGTCTGTGTGTGTTTTTCAAGATAGGACTTCTCTGTGTATCCCTGAACTTCCTGGGATTCCCTCTGTAGATCAGGCTGACCTGGAACTCAGAGCTCTGCCTGCCTCTGCCTCCTGAGCGCTGGGAAGAACAGACAAGTGAGCAAAACACATTCTCTGACAGAGAGCAGACTGAACATTTAAAGATCTTGTTTTATTTAAGTAAAACCTGAGAGGCCTATGGGAAATCTAAATGGGTTGTCAAAGATCACTGAGTCGTGGAGACTGTTTCATGTGAGTCCTAAAGGACAGCTTGGAACAAAACAAATCATTTTACTAGACTCCAAACTCCCAACACTAACTCTTGCAGCATTTACTTTAGCATCCTTATCTTCAGTGTGATTTTTATTGCTTATATTGCCCAAGAAGAGGCTCCTAACAAGATTAGGAAGAATTAGGAAACACAGTAGTTTATTGTTTAAAACAGTCTAAGCTCAAGTCCAAGTTTATCAATTCTAAAGGCCAGGCTACAGTGGAGGCATCGATTGCTTCCGAAACTTTCTGGCTATGTGACACTGATAAAAGAGTCCTAAGGAAGAATAGGTATGTACCAAAAATAATCTACAGGTAAGGCTCAGGAAAGAAGTTACTGGAAAATGTAAGGTCTATACTGGCTTGGCAGTGCACACATACAATGTGGCAACTGGGAGGCTGAGGCAGGAGGAGGAGGTAGGAGCAGGAAGATTACAAGTCTGAGAACAGCCTGGGAAATACAGTGAGATTTTTGTATCTCTAAGAAAAATTAAATTAAAATAAATAAAATAAAAACAAGGTCCACAAAGTAGCCATAGTATTTTAGTGACTGCAAAGCCAAAGTTCTAAAACCAGTGGCATAAAATGGGTTCTTCATAGATACTGGCCAAGGTATGCTCTCTTCTCCAGAGTGGCCCTCCTAGAAACATCTCCAGGAGAAAGCACCAAGAGCATGTGGATACTACAGCCTTTAAGGCTCCACTGTCCAATACAACACTCTATGATGATGGCCTTGTTTGATTTTTGAGGCAGGGTCTTTCTCAATAATCCTGGCTATCCTAGGACTCCCTGCACCAGGCTGGGATTCAGAGCATGTGCCAATGTGCCCGGAAACGAGCATGCTCTTTAGTGCTCCACTACCAATACCACCGGCCACAGGCAGCCACTGAGCTTCTGAAACGTGGGTCAGTAGATGAGAGGAATGGAGACTGGCTATCGCATTTTAATTAATTTAAATTGCCACAAATGACAAGAGGCTATAGCACTGAAGAGCTGAGTCATTCTCTCCTTTCCACTTTGTCACCGCAAAGTTTAAGGAACAATGAAGAGTCATCACAGAGCTTCCAGGCCATGTAAGTTAGTTTCCCTTCCACAAATAAGACAGGGGCATCAGATTTCCAGAGAATAAAAAACAAAAATGCTGAAAAAAGAATCCTGAAAACTTGAGCAAAGGGCCAGATGTATATAATTAATACATAAAACATGATTTCCTAACATTTAAAAAGATTTAAATGGGGGCTGGACAGATGGCTCAGTGGTTAAGAGTACCTGCTGCTCTTCCAGAGGACCTGCCTTTGGTTCCCAGCACCCACATGGTGGTTCACCAACAGTTATAACTCCAATTACAGAGGATCTGATGCCCTCCTCGAACCTCTGGCAGCATGCACACTGTACACCAAACTTCTCACATACACATAAATAAATAAGAACAATAATAAACCAGTGTTAAAAAGATTAGAATGTTGGGCTAGGAGTGGTGGCACAAACCTTTAGCACTCAGGAGGCAGACAGATCTTTATGAGTTTGAGGTCAGCCTAGTATCAACCTGTCTCAAAGAAAAGGAAAAAAAAAGAAGAAAAGAAAAAACCAGATTGAAGATTGAAGGCTGGGCGAGAAGGCACCAGAGGTATACACCTTTAAATCCCAGCACTTGGTTGCACTTGGTTGTTAGAGGCAGGTGGAGTAAATTCCAAGCCAGCCAAGATCCTGTCACCCCACAAAAAAAAAAAAAAAAAAAAAAGAAAAAAGAAAAGAAAAAACAAGAAAAGAAAAAACAAGAAAAATGAAAAAAAGAAATAATAAAAATAATTTTGTCCAATTAAGTACTGGAAGGAAATACTTTCATCTGGCTTAAAACTGAAAGCATTTATGCAGAGAACTATCACTCTACTTGGGAAACGACTGAGTATGTTGTCTTGCATTTCCCTTCACACTGTATCTTCCAAAAAACTGCAGAGAGCCTCTTTGCATGAACTTCTAAATGGAGAGTTACAGGGCATTTTAGAGAAGTTATATACAAGCTATCTAACTCAATTCTCACTACACCCATATGCATCCAAGATGGACATTACCTCTATCCCTATTACAGCTGAGGAAACTAGGCAGTCAAAGGAAGTCAGAGCCTTAAGTTCTGAAGTTGGCAAAGCAGATCTGAAAGGTTGCTCAGTCCTATGTTCTGCCTAGTGCACACTGTGAGCAATCAACAATCTCACACCTCATTAAAGAAGCAACTCAAGAAAGGGCACACAATACAGGCAAAGACAGACTCCAGATAGACTCAAGAGCAGGTTTTGAACAAAACGTAGGATTACTAACATACTAGATCTGTCGGTAACCATCACAGCGTCAGAGCTGTTTTCTGCTCTGCTCTCGAATCTATTTACTGTTTCTAATCACTCCTGCCCTCAAAAAGGTGTGTGGTGGTGTATGGAGGTAGGTGAACAGGGAGAAACTTGATAAATCCAATGCAGACATGGCTCAGCAGAGAAACGCATTCACCAGCAAGCCTCAGTTCCATCCTGGAACCAACACAATAAAAGAAGAGAACTAAACCCTATTTTTTGTTGTTGTTGGTTGGTTTTGGTTTTTCAAGACAAGGTTTGTCTGTGTAGCCCTGGCTGTCCTGAAACTCACTTTGTAGACCAGGTTGGCCTTAAAAAACTCACACAGCTCGACCTGCCTCTGCCTCCTGAGCACCGGAATTAAAGGCATGTGCCACTGCCTCCTGAGTAGATTTACTTTATTATTTCATGTGTCTGAGTGTTTTGTCTGTATCAATGTCAATGTACCACACTCATGCCTGGTACCTGAGGAGATGGTGAGCACCATGTGAGTGATGAGAATACAACCCGGGTCCTCTGAAACAAGTGCTCTTAACCAGTCCAAACGCTACAGCCCTAAATCCTGCAAGCTGCCCTCTAACACATGCACACACACACACACACACACACACACATGCGCGCACGCACACACACAAATAAATAAATATTTGAAAGAAAATCTAAATATGGGGCATGTTAATAACTGGGAGATCTAAGTAAAGACTTCACAGTGACGTTTGTTACTGTTTCTTAGCTCTTTTCTTTAGATGTGAAAGAAAAAAAAATACCTGCTGTCTTTGTCTGTTCTTTCATTTATGAGAGGAATCCATCGGCTTGTTACCTAAAATAAAATTAAGTAGGAATGAAGGCATGATGCAGGTCTTCTTTGAAAAGCTGCACATCTTTAATTCCAGAACTCAGGAGGCAGAGACAGAGGCAGGAGGATTTCTGAGTTCAAGGCCCATCTGGTCTACATATTGAGTTCCAGACCAGCCAGGGTTACATTGTGAGATTCTTTCTTTGAAAAGAAAAAAAGAAAAAAAAAGAAAGAAAGAGAAAAAGAAAAAAGGGGGAGGAGAAACCAAAACAGAAAAGGCATACTGTTCTTTTAAAATTTATGATTCCAAGTGTTCTGTCTAAATATATGTCTGGACACCATGAGCACGCCCCTAGTGCCAAAGAGGGCTTCAGACTCTAGAACTGAACTGGAGTCACAGATGGGAGCAGACTCTGAGCCATCCCTCCTCTATATGTCGTTAAGAGCTCTTAATACTCTCACTAGACTATCAGCTTTGATCAGATTTGTCCCATTAAAACTACATATGGTGGCACGTTTGGAATCCCAGGCTGAGGCCGGAAGATCATGAGTTCCATCCAGGCTAGGATACAGCGCAAGAAACTACCTTAAAAACAAAAATGAAGTTGGCAGTGGTGGCTCACACCTTTAGTACCAGCACTTGGGAGGTAGAGGCAAATTGATCTCCGTGAGTTCAAGGCTAGCCTGGTCTACAGAGCAAGTTCCAGAACAGCCAGGATTACTCTGTGAGGCCCTGTCTAAAACAAACAAACAAAAAATCCCACAACAAAAAAAAGAAAAGAACCCAAAAACTTGAGGCAAGAGGATTGCAGCCTGGGCTATATGACAATTCCAGATCAGGCTAAGCTACACAGTAAAAACATTCCTCAAAATACGTAAGTAAATAAATAGTAATGCATTGAGTTTAAATAGAGTGAAAATGTAAACATACCTTATCAATAGAATGTTTGTTGTTAACAGCATAAACTATGCAGATGACATTAGCCTAGAAGATAAAGTAATAAATTAGTGGTACTTTGAAATAAAATATACATGACAGCATTTAATTACCAAATACCTAAGATTTTAGAGCCAAAGGGGGAAATTTTTTGAAAAAGAAAAACCAACCTATAAGAACAAAGTATCCCTAAAGAAGTAGAGCCAACAATACATATTCAAATACCAACTGAGAAATTCCTGGTAAGCTGGGAATGGTGGGACACATTATAGAGCAAGTGGAGGGAGGGGTCAAGACACGCCACAACCACACAAGGAAAACTGTCACTATCCAACTGTCCCTCAGAAAAAGCATATTCTTGGTAAAAGAACTAAAAAGATACTCATAGGATTATCACTGTTCACACGAGTGGGAATATGCACACACAAACACATGCACATACATTATGCATACCTGTGATATTTCTTGATGAAGTTGCTCATCACTCTGTTCTGCCTCTATAAATGACAAAAGCCAATATTTTGTATTTTAAAATCCTTCATAACTAATCATCAAGCTAAAAACAAAAAAAAAATCTATGTAATATTCACATAACAAAATTGACATAGATGGTTTCCAGCAACTACATAGCAGCACATAACTATCTGTAACTCCACTTTCAGGGGATCCTACACCCTTTTCTGGCCTCCATGGGCATCAGGCATGAACATAATACATTTACATACCTACAGGCATACATACATACTCATAAAAATCAGTAAATCTTCAAAATAACATAGTGTACCAGGCAGAAACCAAATTGAGGCTAATGCAGTGAAAAAAAAGGCGACCTACTATAAGGAAGCCAGTTAGCAGGGAAGCTAATAAAGGAGGACAATTCCAGCACAGAAGTGCAGAGGCCTCTTGTCAAAGATCTAGGCCAGTATCTGATCCAGAGTTAAAAAAGAGTCAGGCAAAAGAGATCAACAACTCAAGAAAGGAGACTGAGCGCTTCAGAGTCAGAAGCCCAGACAAGAATTGCGACACAGAGTCCAAGACTACAGGATCTGGACACTATCAGCACAGTAGGTAGGAGTAATAACAAAAAGGCCCCGAGGCAAAACTGTAGTTTGACAATGAAGAAAGCAAAGATTCCCTTTCTGGGCTGGTAAGATGGCTCAGTTGATAAGGGCTCTTGTGCCACACCTTAGTACAATTCCCAGAACCCACACAGTGGAAGGAGAGACTGAAATTCAGCAAGGTATCCTCTGACCCTCACACATACCATAGCACATTCACGTCCACACACATACTAAAGAAATCAGTAACGTGTATAGTCTTACAATCAGAAATAGTAAGTTGACCTCTGTGTGTATGTGGTGTATACGTGTGTACATATCTACGTGTTCACATGTGTGTTCACATGTGTGATGATGATGCTAGGGATCTTCTACTGTCTCACTTTGTTTCCACACTGGTCTCTTTAGTGAACCTGCAGCTCACAAACTGGCTGACTGGCTGACTGGCTGGCCAATGAGCCCTGGGGTGTGCACGGCTGTCGCTGCCTAGTGCTGCTGTTACAGCCACAGTGCCCAGACTCTTACTTTGGTATCAAGGATCTGCCTGCAGGTTCAGCAAGTACTTTAACTACTAAGCAATCTCCTCAGCTCTCAAACTGACCATTTTTAATTCATTTTAATTCTTTGTAACAAAGGCTGAGAAATTAAAGAACACAAATAGAGTTCAACAAGTAATAATATATATATATACATCTTTGTGTGTGATCCTGGAGATGAATATCAGGCTAGGCAAACACTGGGTAAAATGAGCTACGTCCCCAGTCCTTCAACAAATTCTAAAATTTAGAACTTTCTCACTCTTTTTTGAATATGTATGTGTATATGGTACCTGCATGGACAATGTGTCTGTGGTGGCCAGAGGCACTGGATTAACTCTGAGGCTAGAGTTACAGGAGGCTGTGACCCTGACTGTGGGTGCTGGGGATTAGACTCAGATCCTCTGCAAGAGTAGTACATGATCTTAAACATTTTTAAAAGCTCGATGAGGTTTATTTCAGGGCTATTACACTAACTTCAGAGCCTCCTTCACCCACCAAAGGCCACCCATTACCTGAATAATCGACAATGTGTGTTGGAACTCTTTCAGGGGTGACATCAGCTGGAATGGTGATTTCCTCTGCTCGGGGAGGAACCTTTATTTGACAACAAATATAAAAAAAGAATAAATGTGGTAAAATTATCCATCATACTTACTAATAGACCATTCAGATTTATCTATAGCAGGCCCTTCTGTTTAGAGCTATCTTTGTAGGTATTCACTGCATTTTAAAACACAAAACAAAATGACAACTTTCAAGGTAACCAATAAACACTAATTTTGTCTAGGCTAGATTAAAACTGTCTGGCTTCATAAGCCACGTTTAATAATTCCACATTTCAGAAAGACTGCATCTTTTTAACAAAACTGTCAAGTGTGGAGGCTCATTCCTTTCTTTTTAATTAATTTATTTTTATGTGTATGAGTTTTGCTTACATGCATATCTGTGAACCATATGTATATCTGGTACCACAAGAGGCCAGAAAAGGGTACTGGATCCCCTGGAACTGGAGAAACAGACAGCTGTGAGGTATCATCTGAGTGCTGGGAATCAAACCCAGGTCCTGTGGAAGAGCCAGCCAGTGCTCTTAACTGCTGAGCCTTCTCTCCAACCCCAACTGTATGATTTTTAATTATGGAGGAAAACAAAAAAAGTATCCACACTCAAAAGGAATACACTAAAACAACTCTAACTTCAGTTACACATTTAAAATTTACTTATTCCTTCTGACAGGGTTTCACTATGCAGTTCTAGCTGGATTGGAACTATGAGTCTTTAAATGTGTTTATTTATGTATGTGCATGGGCATCATAGCACACAAGTGGAGTTCAGTATGGAGTCAGTGTTGTACTTCCACCAAGTGGGTCCTGGGAACTAAAATCAGGTTGTCAGTCTTGGCAGCAGGTATCTTTTCTCACTTTTCCCATCTTGTTAGCTCTTTAGACAAACTTCTGCAGAGAACTTTGGGTATTATACCCTAACTCTCAAATAATGTTAATGATTCCAAAATATATTCCACTTTTCTTCTCTTCTTTTTTTTTAATATTTATTTATTTTATGTATGTGAGTATACTGTTGCTGTCTTCAGACACACCAGAAGAGGCCATCAGATCACATTACAGATGGTTGTGAGCCACTATGTGGTTGCTGGGAATTAAACTCACAACCTCTGGAAGAACAAACAGTGTTCTTAACCACTGAGCCATCTCTCCAGCCCTCCACTTTTCAAATTAAGGAATTACTATTTGATTCTTCTTTAATGCAAAGGGGAACAAAGCAGCAGCCATGGAATTGTGAATGTTGAAACCACTACCAAGGGGAGATATGCTCAGCAGTGAACTGAAGCTCCTGCTTGGTATGCACAAGACCCTGGATCCAATCTCAATTACCACAAAAATCCAGAACAACAAAGACGCTGCCATGTGACACATCAAATTCCTAGCTCAGCAATAAAACAATAAGATTATTTCTTTCTAAACAAGAGTAAAGAAAGGATTAATGTAAACTCTGACATTAGTTTTATTTTTACTTGTGTGTGCAGGCACATGTACTTGAATGCCACATTTGTGTGTATGTTGGGAGACAGATACCACACATGCCAAAGAGTGTGGATATCCAGGAGCTAAAGTTATAAGCAGCTACGAATCAACTGATACTGGGAATTGCACAAGGATTCTCTGGAAGTATGGCAAGTTCTTTTAAGTACTGAGTTATTTCTCTAGCCTCAAACTCTGACATTAATAATACTTTGGAAAAAAACAAGCCAGACCTGTAATCTCAGTATTTGGGAGGCAGAGGTAGAAGAATCAGAAAGAAGTTCAAGACTAGCCTGGCTACATAGAAAGTTTGAGGCCGCCGGGCAGTGGTGGCGCACGCCTTTAATCCCAGCACTTGGGAGCAGAGGCAGGCGGATTTCTGAGTTCGAGGCCAGCCTGGTCTACAGAGTGAGTTCCAGGACAGCCCAGGCTATAAAGAGAAACCCTGTCTCAGGGAAAAAAAAAAAAAAAAGAAAGAAAGTTTGAGGCCAACCTGTACTATACAGACTGTGCTCCCAGAAATAAACAAAACAAACTAACAACAACAAAATCCAAAATGTTGTTATGCTGCCCCACTGATACTGTTCTCTACCCCAATACCCTAACGCTACAGGAGGGTTTAGCCAGCATCCCTCACGCTGGGATTTCCAAAGTGAAAGTAAGTATAGCCCAGTATGATGGTGCATACATGTAATCCCAGGACCAAGGAAGTGGAGGCAGGAGGATCAGGAGTTTAAAGTCATCCTGGGGTACATGAGACCCTGTCTGAAAACAGCAATAATAATAGTAATAATAGCAAAACTAAAATGCTGGTTTCTGGTGGCATTTCATTATTATTAATGTCATATACAACAATTCTTTGGATCTGTAGATAATATAGAATGAATTCATTTCTAATTTGTAAAATGAAGTCTGTAGGTAATGTTAGTTGCATCAGAATTCTAGTCTGACAAAAACTCAGGAACTGGACAGCACCAGGCAGAAGGTAAGCAGTACTCAGACTGTAATCAGATTTCAATTCACACAACACTCTGCATCTTTCACGTCTGGAAAACATTTTATCTCTGAAAACAAACTACAGAAATGCTATGATCTCCAGATTCTTTTTCCCATCACTTTAAAAAAGAGACAACTAAGACCTAGAGATGACAAATGGCAAGGTCACTGGCTAGTGAGACGGCTCAGTGACTTGCCAAGCAGACTGACAATTTGAAGTGGATCCTCAGGCCTTGTGTGGAAGAAGGAGAAAATTGTGACTCACACAAGCTGTCCTGTAATCTCCACACTGTGCAATGGCATGTATGTATTCGTTCAAACATACTCATGTAATATAAAACAAAATTTAACGGTAAAGTCAAAGGCACAAAATGAAAAGAACTTAGGCTCTTTCATAAGGTGATGACCTCTGTAAGCTTTTTTAAAGCCCTAACTGTTGAAGAAACATATGAAGGTAGCATTGATATCATTTTAACTTATTTTTTATTTAAAAACAAAACAGCAACAACAAAAAACTTACAACAAAGAAATTAAATGTTTACCTCTTCCGGAAATTCTTCACTGACCAGAGACATAATCAGTGATGTCTTCCCAACTCTAGCTGTTAAAAGAAAAATCATTACTTAATAAAACATTTTGGTCCTACAGAAACTCAAATCCAGTAACCACATAAGGAGTTATTAGTTGTGAGGGGAAAGATAAGTATAAGCCCTTTTCCTACAGCCTCCTGCACTTCAGGTGTACCAGCACCTACAATTGCTTGCCTGTAATTCCAGCTACCTGGGGAGGCTGAGGGAATAAGATGTCAGGTTTGAGGAAAGAACAGAACAGAATACAGTAACAAAAACCTTCCTGCATTACCTATTCAGAGTTGTATAAGAATCTATCCCATAATATAAGATGCTTAATTTTCTAAATTAAATTTCTAAAGATCATTTCTAAATCTTCACCTTTATGAATAATGTTGTAACTCATATTCTACAACATAAATTCCTTAAAGTGGAATTCAAGTTAGCACACGGGCTGTTCTGTTTCAATGACATTATTAGTTATGTTCACAAGAGAGCACATCAGCTCACACCCTCAGCAACAGAGGGACCTGAGGGCCTGGATCCCTATATGGCGCACTCCTTCCTTTTTGTTATGTATTTAAAAGGCTGATAACAAGGTAAAAAAACAAAACTTTTCTGTCCCAGTGATCTTTTTAATAAAGGACAATTAAAATCTCAATCTTTATTTTACGTTTCTGATCATGTGGTTACTACTGTCAAAATAAGTGCTTATCAACCAAGTCTGTTCGAGCTCCTAGAGGAAAACAGACTACTGACAGTTAATTCCTGCCACAGCGGCAAAGTATAAATTCTAAATACAGGTCCAAATATGAAAGATGGCAATTTTTAAGAGTTAAGAAAAGTCACAGCCCTTTCCTACATGGCTGGAAAATCATGAATGGCTAGAACACACAAGAAACTACACTGGTCACAACAGCACCGTGTGAAATAGAGACAAATTATACGGTTTAACAGGTAGCTTCTAGCTCTATTTCTATAGACTATTTAAAAATACTTTTATATTTATTATTTTATGTATACACGTGTGTCTGTGTGTGGGCATATGTAGACATGTGTGGGTACCCAGAGAGTCAAGAAGACAGTACAGGATCCCCTGGAGCTGGAGTTACAGGTGGTTGTGAGCTGTCCATGTGGGTGCTAGGACACAACTCTGGGTCCTCTGGAAGAGCAATATGCACTCCTAACTAACTACTGAGTCATCTCTCCAGCCCCCTACAGACTTTTTGATTGTTTTATGTAAAAAAAAAAAAAAAGCACGCAGAAATACAGTACTATTATCCAATCTATTGACTTTATTCACTACTATATTTTACAGAAAATGAAAATAAAAACGGCTGTCACATCTATTATAGTCAGTCCCTTTTGAACTAGGAGCATTGTCTGTGTCAGAGTTTCATGTAGCCTAGGCTGACCTTGAACTCAAAATGTGTATACACCTGAGAATGACCTTCACTGTCTTTTCTTTCCTCTCCTCCTCCCTCTCTCTGCCCTGACCCCAGACACTTTAAACGGTCTCACAATATAGCTCTGGCTTCCCTAGAACTCATTATGTAGATCAGGTTGGCCTTGAACTCAGAAATCCCTTTGGGATTAAGGGTATGTGTCACCACCACACCTGGCCTTCCATATATTTTTATTTTTTGCTACTAAAAACTGTCAATAAATACTATTTTAAGTTATTTTGGTGGCTAAAAAAAGGGCAACTTCTAGATTATATATATCAAGTAAAATTAATCTAAATATTGACAAATGAAATAGAGATATTCTTTTATATCTTTTTTTTTTCTTTTTTTGATTTTTCGAGACAGGGTTTCTCTGTGTAGCCCTGGTTGTCCTGGAACTCACTCTGTAGACCAGGCTGGCCTCAAACTCAGAAATCCTCCTGCCTCTGCCTCCCAAGTGCTGGGATTAAAGGTGTGCACCACCACCGCCCGGCCAAATATATCTTTTTATGTGTATGGAGTCTGTGTGTGTTGAGATCAAACACTGGACCTCTCACAGGCTAGGAAAATGTACTATCCTAGCCCCAGCAAAAATTTTTGGAGTACTTCTATGTGTCTTAGATGTTCACAACACTTCTGAACAAGGCAGTTGTATCTTCCTTTTACAAAAATTACAGGCTTCAGAGTTATCACCAATAAAGCCAACAGTTTTTCTACAGAGCAGGATAAACTGCTATCCCTGATTCAGGTTTCTTTGCATTGAAATTCTGTTATATTTCTCTCGTTACTGCTAGAGGAGACTACTACACTGCCCAGGTTAGTCTGGCACTCCTAGGCAGTCCTCCAAGCAGCCCGCCCTCCCCGAGTGCTGGAGCCACTGGCGCCTGCCAGGCTAAATAAAAACCTAGCCTGTGGTTTTACATATGTCTCTGCTTGCCCTTTTGCCTAATTCTGGTATTTCATTTAAACATTTCCCAGTTCCCAACTTTCTCATCAATCTACCAACAATATAAATGCCCACTCTACTTTCTCCCACACCTGTCATCTTCTAGCTCAGCCTTCTGGACTCTCACCTTCCTCCCAGCTCCCATGAATCATACTAGTGGGAGTGCCACCAAACCACAGCGCACCTACCTCATCCCATCCACTGTTGCCCACTCGGGCAAGTTGCACAAACAAGGCCATCCATGCTTCACACAGGTACAAGCACTAACAAGCCACAATGAGTCCTGTCCTCCCCACCCCCACCCCCATGGCTTTCCTCATCCAAAAACCATTATGTCTCCTCTGTACTTTTACATCTTATCTCTTTAGGGCTCTTCAATCCTAGCACAACCTAAAGACCCCCAGAGGTACCACAGCTCTCACTGCCTCCACTAACAACTTCTATGTCATAACCTGTATTAAGCTACTATGAATGTAACATACATACTTACCATGTATGAGTCTACATGAACACAATAACCACATATTTGTAAATAAGTGGCTAATAAAGCAAACCTAATTTTGTATGAATGGAGGACCTCTAGCACTACCTGACTGGACGTCTTTGCCCAGGGATAGCAGCATTGCCAGGGAAACCATTTCCACCTCCCAACACTTCTCCAATGTTTCTTTTCTTAAAATGTATTTATTTTTATGTGTGTGGGTATTTCATCTGAATGCACATGTATGTACACCAAGAAGAGTGTTTTGGATCTCCTGGAACTGAAGTTACAGGTGGTTGTCAGTTGCCATGTGGGTGCTAGAAATTGAACCCAAGTCCTCTCTCTGAAAGAGCAGCCAGTGCTCTTAACCACTCAACCATCTCTCCAGCCCCACAACTTTTAAAAGTGAGTTTCTGGATTTAAGGCCCAGTACTGCCCTAGAAGAGGTATTCTGCAAACTGAACAGCAGGCAACTGCTGAAGCAATACAAAAATAAAATAAAGCCATCAAGATAACTCAGTGGGGTCTGGTACCTGCTGCCAGGACTCACAAGCTGAATTCAACCCCCAGGACTAACACAAGAGAACTGACTCCTACAGGTAGTCCTCCAACTTCCACACGTGTACACATACTCATACACACACACATACCTAATAAAATAACAATTAAAAATAAACTCTAAGCAGGTGTGGTGGCACACACTTTTAATCTCAGCACTTAGGAGGTAGAGGCAAGCAGATCTCAGTGAGTTCAAGACCAGCCAGGTCTACAGAGTGAATTCCAGGTCAGCCAGAGAAACTCTGTCTTGAAAAACAAAGATGAACTGTATAAATCACTGTATCCAATTTGTTCTTAGTAAAAACCTAAGGTTAGAATTCTACATAACAAAACAGAATGTGAAACTATGACAAGTGGTTTCAAAGTCCCTTGCAATTTCCTAGTAACAGCTAGGTCTTTTCTTATAAATAACTATACAAGCTCATCCTATAGACAGAGCTCATTTAGGAGATGCAGACAAGATAGCTTCAGAATAAGGGTTTGTCACCAGAAAAAATCCAACCTCATAAGTAGAAGGTTGGAACCTTCAGACTCATCCTAAAACCTAGAAAGAGACTGAAAAGGGGGGACTGGAGTTTGAGTCCAACCACATGACAAAGAGACCCCAAACAAAACCTCTAGGCTTCACATCTCAGGAGACCTTCCAGGTTAGTGAACACACCAGTAAGGTGGTACACTTTAACTCCACACTAAGCTCCGGGTCCTTCCAACTCTTCCTCCTGCCTCTCCTCATTTGCAGGATCGTAAGTGTAATGTTTTCTAATGAACAAGCAAACTTGAGGGAGCTGGTGAGAAGCCTCTTTTCAGTGTTTGACTAACAGGGGAGGCCAACTACGAAGGAGACACTGGCAGGAGTAAAGATGGCAACTGAACAATCTCACAGATGCTTGAAGACATGGACACACAAGACAGTGGCCCCAAGGGTGTGGCTAACTTGTTTAAAGTCATTTGCATCAGTTACCACTTCCCAGAGTATGATTTTATTTATTTGCTCACATCCTACCTCATCTAGAAAACAAGCTGAAGCAATTCCATCTAGAGCCAGCCATGATGGCACATACTTTTAACCCCAATACTCAGGAGGCAGAGACAGGCAGATCTGAAGGCCAGCCTGCTCTACAGAGTGAGTTCCCAGGACAGTCAGAGACACACAGAGAAACTCTGTCACAAAATACAAAACAAAAACAGGCTTGGTTCTTCCAAAGCAACTGTGATTATAATAAAGTGAGGAGGATGACTATGCAGTTATATTTTTAATTAACTTTTAGCATTTGGAAAAATAATCCTAGCAAGGACCTTCCCTATAATGGGAGGCTAAAGCGGAAGGACTGCTATGGATTTGAGGCCAGCAAACATGAGTTCCAAGCAAACCTGGGCTACAAGTGATACTTTCTGTCAGAAGGAGAAAGGGAAGAAGAGAAGGAGGGAACAACTTTGTTGTTACCAAGGAACAATTAAAAGTATGGTGGTTTAGCTAGGTGTGAGGGCACACACTTTTAATCCCAGTGCCTGGGAGGCAGGTGGATCTCTGTGTGTTCAAGGCCATTCCAATTTACTTGGTGAGTTCACTGATCATAGGTAGGTGATAGCCTACAAGACAAA